GTCTACAGTACCTGGGCCCCATGATCACCTGAGTTCATTGACATGCAGATAACCTTGTGTGTGCACATTGGTCTGTGCCTCTGTGTGCTATATGCTAGGCTTTGAACTCTTATTCACTGAGTCATGTCACCAGCAGACCCGCACACATTCTTGCAAAGACTCCACTGTGGTCATTTCATGGCTTCATCATCACATTCTTGCAAAGACTCCACTGTGGTCATTTCATGGCTTCATCATATCCTATCCTGCATTCAACTTAATAAAAGGCCGCAGCACACTGAATCTACTCTGTCCAGCAACAGCATAAGAAAAAGGGCAGGACCAGGGAGACGGCTCAGTGGGTAAAACACTTGCTGCATAGGCAGGGGGACCTGAGTTCAGATCCCCAGGGCCCACATGAAAGCTGCACATGTGGTATATGTGTGTAACCCTCCTCACTGGAGGCCAAGTGGCCAACTAGTCTAGCTCAGAGGGTAAGAACAGTTCACTGAGAGAAACTGTCTCAGAAATAAGATGGAGGGCAATAAAGATGTCTACCTGAAGTAGACCTCTGGCTTCCACACAGTAACACACAGATGACTGTCACACACACACACACACACACACACACACACACACACACACATACGTACATGCGTGTGCACACACATGCACACAAAGAGGAAGGCAGAATTGCTAAAAAAAAAAAAAAAGTGACCAAGAGGTCCTCTGATTTTTCATTCTGTGACAAGAACTACAGTGACAGGATGAGTTCCAGGAACCACGCTGGGCCCAGAGAGGGATCTCCTCTCCAGCCACTCCAGCCTCATTCCCACTCCACCCAGCTAGACCTGGCATCTTTTAACACCACAGAGAGAAGGGAGGGTAGATCCTAAAAGAGAACACAAGTAGTAAGAGGAAGCCACTGAGCCTGTGAGCGGGAGGTGAGAATTTGAAGCAGCTTAGCCTTCATAACCTAAGGCCAGCAGCCATCTGTTTCCCAGAAAACAGCAATGAGGGGAAAGTGGCAGCACTTCCAGGGTCTGTGCTGGACATGGCCTTCAATTCTGTTGACCAGGAGGGACAAGAGCCAAGATGGGATCACCAAAGGTGTCCCCTGTCACTTACTAGCTGGGTGGTCCTAGGTAAAAATGAATTTCCCTGAGTTTTCAGACTTTCCTCCCAGAGGGTGGGGGTGGAAAAAGGAGGTTCTAATCTAGAAAGTTCTGGTGGAACGGGCTGATAAATGGCAAGCACTTAGTTGGTGCTGATGGGCCAAAAACAACAAATCCAGGTGATGACAGCTCCTCTCACTTTCCTCAATATCTCCCTCCCCCACTTTAAGTTTTACCTGTGTCTGAGGTGTATGTGTGCATGTCTGCATATGTATGGAGGCCAGAGGAGAGCTTCAGGTGTCACTCCTCTTCAGGCACCTTCCACCTTCTTTTTTTTTTTGTTTTTTTTTTTTTGAGACAAAGTCTCTTGCTGGGACTGGGGGCTTACTATTTGGCTAGGCTGGCTAGACTGTTCCAGGGATCACCCTGTCTCTGTCTCCCCAGAGGAATTCTGAGTAAATGCCACCACACTGGACTTTTACATAGGTGCTGGGGATCAAACTCAGGTCCTCATGTTCACACAGCAAGTGTTTTATTGGCTGAGCTACTTCCCCAGCCCCTCTATTTCCAATGGCTACTACAATGGCAGGCAAAACAGAGAGAGGAGAGTCTCCTCTATTGTGACACTGGAATTGCTGCTAATCATCTCTTTTTTGGTTTACAGTCTACCCCAGCAAAGCCACATGCTAATAAAAACACTGTGTTGACTGTGGCCTGGCTGGGCGTGGAGCAGCAAGATACGGGATAGCATCGAAGCGCCTCAGTACGAATGCACCAGGCCCACGAGGTAAAACTAGTCATTTCCTACAGAGCAGTGTGAAGACCAATCATGCCTCATGCAGGTAGAAGAGATGACGCTCCTGTCCTCCTCTATGCCCCAGGACCACAGACAGCAACTGACCTGCACTGTCAGGGAGGACAAGAAGGCCTAGGCAACCTGAGCACCAGAGTAGAACTGCTCAGGATCTAGCAGGTTCTTAATGAAGATGGAGAACCTTCTAGAGATCAATAAGGTATTGCTTGGCAGGTATGAACCAGACCCTTTTTCTCTTTTTGCATGAAGTTATCAATAAAATAAACCTGCTCATGAAATCATTGTAAAGTTGGTTCTCCCACCCTATCCCTCCTCGGCCTGGGACTAAGTGCTGAGTCACATCAGGAACCAGAAACAAGAAGGAGGTCACATGGGAGAAGCACTTGCTGTACAGACACTAAGTTGATACAGAGTTACCACTTAATTGAGATCTCTGCAGGTTGGGGAGCTGATTGACCTTGTTTCATCTTGGTAAAAAACAGCACTTGGCAGCAGCCATGTGATTGTCCTCCTTTCACGTGCATGGAAACTGCAGTGACTGGGAAGATGACTTGCAAGATGAGAACCACCAGCTTTATGGAGGTTAATGAAGGGTCTATGAGATAGTCGTCCCCAAGCAGACAGCATGCTTTTTTCCCCCTTTGGTGCTGGGGATTTGAACCAGAGCCTTGTACATGCTAGAGAAGAGCTGCACTGCTGATCTTCATCTTGAGCCCCTTTCTAAATTTCATTTTTGAGACGTCATCATCCCAAGTTGCCAAGGTCAGTCTTCAACTTATCCTAAGAAGCTGAGACAGCAAGTGTGTGGAACCACACCTGCCAAAGACAGACTTAAAATTATGTAACTTCGACTTCAGAGTCTTGCTCCTCACCAAGGCCTGATTTACTGACTGCTAATTACTGTTAGGGAATCAGGCTGTGCCATTTGCTGGCCCTTGAGCTTTCTCCTGCTACTGACTAAAACTCAGGAACAGATGTCTTGCTCCCTCGTGTGTCCAGAACTTCTCTCTAGGGAATAAGTCCAACAAAATGGCCTTCCAAAAGCAAGCCGGGTGCTGGTCAAGGACACAGTAACAACTGAGCATCTTTGATGTCCAGTAGTGCGCACTCACTGAGAACCAACCCCTGTTTACCATGTGCTAGGGGCTCGGGAGAGCATTACTAAGCATTGAGAAGTACAAAACTAAGATAGGAACTCTGTCCTCAGAACACTTAAAATAGTTGGGAAGGCAGGCATGTATAAAATTAAATATATGTGGGTTAAGAATGTCTTAATTGAGGCTGTCTGAATTTACCATAAATGAGGAACAGATGAGAGCTCTGAAATCTGAGAGCTGGGATCAGTTGCCTCTCCTTTGGGCCTCCAGGGAGCTGGAAGCCCGGGAGAGGTGTCCTGCAGCTGAGTCTGGAAAACAAGTAGCACTTAACTATGCAGAGGAGAGGAGCACAAGGAGTGATTTCTAAAACAAGGAGGAGCAAATGCACAGAGGCCCTCAAGTGGTGAGGCTGGTACAGGGGCATCTGTTTAGCTGGTGGGAACTTGGAAAGGAGAGCAAGAGAAGGAAGAAGGGAAGGAAGGAAGGCTAGAGAGGGCCTTCAAAGCCAGGCTAGGAGATCTTGGCTTCATCATGTAGATTTGCCATTGTCACATGGCATGGCAAGTGTTCAAGGTAGTCCCCATGGTGGTGCTATTGGGAGAGCTAGATCTAATACAAAGTCCAGGTCACTGGGGTGTCACCAAAAGTTCCAGCCCCTTTGCTCTCTGTTCTCTAGCTTGTCATGTGAGTGGTTTCATTCTGCCCTCTGCTGCCACCATGGTGTGGTGCCTGGCACAAAGCAACAGTGACTTGGTCATGGGGAACCGCCAACACTGTGAGCCAAAACCAAACATTTTTTCTTTTATCAGTTGATTATCTCAGGGATTTCATTATAGTGACAGAAAGCTAACACAGGATGCTATGCCAACTCCTACCAGTAGGGTAGAGAATACCTCTCAGTTTGTAGAGTGCAGCCTAGCATGCATAAAGCCCTGGCTTTGATACCAAGCGATGCTTAAAATCAGACATGGTAACACACATTTGTAGTCCTAGTTTTCATGAGGTAAAGGCAGGAAGATCAGAAGTTCAAGGTAATTCTGTCCTCTGAGCATTGTGGCCAGTACCATCTCCATGAGAGCAGGTGAAACTACCTACAGGAGAGTCTCAAGGTCGGGCTTGTTGTTTCTTCACAGGAGGGGTAGAGGAGGGTCATCAGACCCTTACCTGAAATTCTAGATACTCCTTCCAATACCTCTCCCCTCCCAAGCTGCAGATGCTAAAATATATAGAGTGTAGAGGGTTAGCTAGAAGGGAGACACCATCTATACAGATGTGGGGAGGTTGCCACCCATGTTAGGATGATACCTGGCAGTGATTTGACTGCTTTGGGGTCAACCTTGCTCCTGTTAGTAAGTTCTTACCCACACTCTGTAAGTAAGCCCAATAAACATTGGTTGTCCAAGTTGGACCCTGGTGAAATTATTACATTGGTTGGTCACTGGTACCCTATTTGGGGTAAGTAGGGTGTTTTTGTTGCCCTAGGGAAGTTCACAAACCAGAGAGGAAATCCAAAAGTCTAGTTTTCAAAACCATGTAGGAAACAGCCCTCCAATCATCCTGTGAGAGGCAGAGAAGAGAAGCCCTGAGGGGCTCTACACAGGCTGCAGCAGGATCAGTAGATAGGCTTAAGTAACTGCAGCACAGTAGAGAGAGAGAGAGAGAGAGAGAGAGAGAGAGAGAGAGAGAGAGTTGAGCACTTGGTGCATGCCAAACCTCTCCCACAGTACTTAGTGTGGAAGCTGGAGGCAGTGGCATAGCATCTTGGTACCAGCTGGGGAGTCAGGTAGGAGGATCTGGAGTTCAAGATAAGAACTTTGAGGAGAGCCTGGGGTACAATAAATCCTGTTTAAAAAGAAAATTTCAAGGGCTGGAAAGATGGCTCAGAGGTTAAAAGCACTTGCTGCTCTTCCAGAGATCCTGAGTTCAATTCCCGGCAACCACATGGTGGCTCACAACCATCTGTAATGAGATCTGGTGCCCTCTTCTGGCCTGTAGGCATACATGGAAGCAGAACGTTATAAACATAATAAAGAAATAAATAATCTAAAAAAATTTCAAAAACCAACCAATCAAAAAGTTAGGAGAGGAGCAAGATCAATCCAGAGACAAGTAAGAAGCAAGCACAGTGTACTGTTAGATTTAACTGTCAACTTGATACAACCTAGAGTCACTTCAGATTAGCTTAATGAGGAGTCATCTAGACCAGATTGGTCAGTGGGCATGTCTTTGGAAGGCTGCCTTGACTATTAATTGATATAGGAAGTCCCAGCCCTTTGTGGGCAGCACCATTCCCTAAGCAGGGGCTCTTCAACAGTATAAGAAAGGAGAAAGCTAGCAGGAAGCAAGGGAGCCTGCTGCATTGATTTCTCTCTCCTGTGGGTAAGAAATGACTCCAACTTCCTAGACTGTGACTTCTCAGCTGTGACGGACTGGAATCTGGAACTATAAGTCAAATAAACCTTTTCCTCCCCTGTGTTGCATACAGCCACAGAAATGAAAGTAGGACACAGCATTTACAACAAACAGGGATAGAACCAAGAGACCTGCTTGATGCCAGATTGCCCAGGAGAATGGTAGGCAGGAAGGCTGGGTGGCTGGTAACCTCTCAGGAACCTGGGTGACCACAGTTGGCAGTATATGTATCTTTATGTAGTACTAGATGTTGTGGCTAAGTGGGAGGAAGGGGGCAAGTAGCCCAAATTCAGGCTTCCCTTGCCAAGGGGTCATTTTTAAGAATAGCAACTCAATGGTACCAAGCTCATGGGCTACCATCAGACTGAAACAAATGAGCAAGAACTTAAAAATATGGACATCCCACCAAATCACTGACCTCAAAACACTTTTCTCTCTTTGCTTGGTGAAGCAGGTTGGCCATTCCAGGGAGCAGAACTGGAAAGATGAACATTTCCAGATAATCTCTGGGAGAACCTGAAACAAGCATATTCCCACTGAAAATCCCAAGACATAGGTTCATCTGAAAAAGACACTTACTGCTTAACAGAGAGAGAAAGAGGGAAAGAGAGTAGGAGGGCAGGAGGGAAGGAAGGAAATATATTCCATCTGGGCTGAGGCTATAGTATCTCAGTTGGCCAAGTGCTTGTCTAGCATGCAGGAAGCCCTGGCTTTAATCTCTAGCACCCAAGACACTGGGTGTGGTGCAGGCCTGGATTCATAGCACTCAAGAAGTAGAGGCAGGAGGATCAAAAGTTCCCGGCAAGCCTTGGCTATATAGAAAGTTCAAGGCAAGACTGGGAGACTCTGTCTGAGAAACAACAAAACAAAAGAAGTGCCATCTAAGGGCTGCAGAGATGGCTCAGAGGTTAAGGGCATTGGCTGCTCTTCCAGAGGTCCTGAGCTCAATTCCCAGCAACCACATGGTGGCTCACAACCATCTATAGTGAGATCTGGTGCCCTCCTCTGGCATGCAGGCAAACATGCAGACAGAACACTGTATACATAATAAATAAATCTTTTTTTTTAAAAAGTGCCATCTATTCAATAGCTTGATCTTACTTGTCACTGTCAGGTTGCTGAGTTGGACTGGGTTACTAAGAAACTAAACTTGGCCCTGTAAGCCTCTGGACTCTAGCAAGGGTGGTCCAGGCCTACCTGGGTCAAGTTCTCACCTTCTTACAGCACCCAGGCAGTCACAGCACAGAGGCCAGTGTCTGCAGGAGCAGTGGGTGTGAGCATGAGGTACGACGGGAACTGAGGCTAGAGAGAAGCTGGGATAGGGGAGTATGACAGATGGGGCCTGACAGCCACAATAACAGCACCACTGCCTGACCAGGGCCCAGGGTAGAATGCACAAAACAAACATGGAGAAAGAGCATAGGGAGGCTCTTTCTCATGAGCTGGGCCTCAAAGGGACCAACAGGCTGGACCTAGAGGCCTGACAACAGGAGGCTTTCTAAGATATGCATCTGTTTGCCCTTACTGTTTATAGCTTACAATTTAGTACAGAATCACAGTGCTTGCTACATTCTTTCTGCTGAGAAATAACTTTTCAAAGATGTCAGAGATCCAACAACATTCTTCTATGGGGATGGGGAGCTAGGTAGCATAGCTCAGGTTTTAAGTTCAACCCCCAGCACCAATGTGAACAAAGTCAGGTGTGGTGGTGTGGGCTTGTGATCTCAGAGCTGGGGGGAAGGGAGTCCTAGGGCTCACTGGCCAGCCATCTTGACCATTTGGGGAGCTCCAGGCCTGTCTCAAAAGACAAAACAAAACGAAGAGCTACAATGCAGATACTGACTTGTCTGACCACTACCACCCTACCCTGTGAGTTCGAATATTACACCCCAAACGATAGAAGATGAAGGCTCTCCTTCTTACTTACAGGTCTTGGGTTCTACTGTTTCTGCCTTCTTGGGAGGACAAGGCTCAGGAGGCAACACTGGCAATGGGTGCACTGGGAGGTAGTGCTCCATATTGAAGCCATGAGGAACCAGTTCCTCCAATGGCGTGACCTACAGGCAGTGGGGTAGGGCAGTGAATTCCAAAACAACTTCGATAATTGAATTTTCTTTATTTTTAATTTTAAAATTCAACTTATTTATGGGGGGCATACACACATGCCACAGCACATATGTGGAGGTCAGAGAACAATCTAGAAGTTGGTTTTCTCCTTCCACCCTTTGAGTCTAACAACTGAATTCAGGTTATCAAGCTTAGCAGCAAGCACCTTTACCCATCAAGCTATCTCACCAACCCTCTGTCATCCTCTTCTCCTTCTTCTTCCTCTTCCTCCTCCTCCTTCTCCTCCTCCTCCTCTTCATTAATACTACTACTGCTGCTGCTGCTGCTATCAGGTTTTTTTTTTTTTTTTTTTTTTTTTTTTTTTTTTTTTTTTTTGCTTTTTCAATACGGGGTTTCTCTGTGTAGCCCTGGCTGTCCTAGACCTCGATTTTTAGACCAGTGTGGTCTTGAACTCAGAGATAAGCCTGCCTCTGCCTCCCAAGTGCTGGGAATAAAGGTGTTTGCCACAATGCCTGATTTTTTTATAACCTTATGAGGGAATGAACTTCTGTGTCAGATAGACAAGTTGGGGGGACATTCTGAATAAAAGTGATAATCTACCTATCACCTATTTATATCATCAATCATCTATTTTCTATCTATCATCTATTTACCTACCTACCTACCTATCCATCTACCCAATCATCTCCTACTGGTTCTGATGCTCTATTAGCCTGAAGGTACTTAGCTATACAGAAAAATACTCTTAGGCTCCCATTTAAGATTGTACACAGCTAAAGCTCTCTACACAGATCAAGAAAAGCAATAGTATAAAAACCAAAGATCAAAAAGTAAAGCCATGGCTGGGCTTGGTGGTACACACCTGTAAACCCACCCCACACCTGAGAGGCAGAGTAAGGAGGATCACCACAAGACCTTGTTTCTAAATAAATAAATAAAACAAGCAAGCAAGATCACCACAAGACCCTGTCTCTAAATAAATAAGTAAAGCAAGCAAGATCCAGATATGGCAGTGCACACTCAGCACTCTTGAAAGCTGAGGCAGGAGAATTAAGAGTTTAAGATCATCTGAACTACATGTGCAGTTCAAGGCCAGCCTAGTCCCATTTATATAGTGAGACCCTATCTAACAAACAAAACTAAAACCAATAAATAGAACAACTATCCTTAGAAAAAATAATTCAGGAAAAATAATGAGAATTAGTGTCTGCAGAGAAATTTGTGTAAGAATTGCACCCACAAAGTAAGAACAGGATGTTAGCAAAAAGGAACAGTCACAAAACAAGAAAGAGGCCTGCGATGATGAAAATTACTCAGCATCTACAGAATTCAATTTTGGTTCATCCCTGTGACCTTGCTCAAGTCCCTTTACCTCTTGAGTCTTAAAAACAAAAATCAAGGCTGTCAAATGTATGCAATTCCAAGGTATATTTCCAAGGGTACTCCCTTCTTGGCTGCTGGTCTTCTCAGAGAAACCTGCTCTGTCCACAATTGTCACTACATAGATCCATTGCAAGCATCTCTTACAGTGTGAGATGGTCATAAGGATATGTGAGCTGTCCCATTTAGTAAAATCTATCACCAAGGTTCAAAGTGCCAGTGGCCATGTCAGAGGAGCATCAGGTGGCAAATGAAGTTCAAGGTGTCAGCCCACTAGGGGGAAACTCTTTACTGGATCAATCTCGGACAGGCAAGGCCCTGAGACCACAGATCCGGGAATGTCTTTGGCTTCTGCTGTACCTTTACATGTGGGCTGCTGCTAACTTTCCCTGGTATCTGGCAGGGTGTGAATGGGTGTGGGGATATTTCCACTGCCTGTAATGTAGTGTGTTTATCTCATGGTAACATCCCTTTCTGCTGGGCATTTTTACATGTGGATTATTATGAAGATGATTCTTCCCTAAGCTGTACTGTCTAACTGATAATAATAATGTTAGCTTATAAGAGTTTTGATGAATAAAAATAAACACAAGGAAATGCTACAGTCAGGGCCTATGAGTTTCACCTAAGGAGCTGCATAGACCATGGCTCAAGTTAATGATTAAGGAAAACAATTGAGTCCCTAGGAGCTAGGATGGCCCTAATTATCCTTTTTATTTATTTATTATGTGTACAACATTGTGCTTCCATGTATATCTGCACACCAGAAGAAGGCACCAGATCTCATAATGGGTGGTTGTGAGCCACCATGTGGTTGCTGGGAATTGAACTCAGGACCTCTGGAAGAGCAGCCACTGCTCTTAACCTTTGAGCCATCTCTCCAGCCCCAGCCCTAATTATCTTAATGCTGAAAAATGTAGTCACAGGTTTCATTGTGCATCAGTAGCTGAAACAAAGCTTTAGAATAATGTCAGGTTATATCAGATGTTTTGATAATAGCTTTGAGATGAAAAACCCTAGAAAACAATCTAAAGTTCACTAGGACACATAGCTGAGGTCAAAAATACAAAGCACTCTAATTGTTACTAGCTGACATACTTTCCTTGCTAGGGTTGGTTGATGATCAAAGGTGATGATATATATACCAGAGAGTGGATATGCATCCTAAAGCTTAAAGTAGAGTTGACTGATTCTTTTTTTTTAAGATTTCATTTATTATGTATACAACATTCTGCTTCCATGTATATTTGCACATCAGAAGAGGGCACCAGATCTCATAACGAATGGTTGTGAGCCACCATGTGGTTGCTGGGAACTGAACTCAGGACCTCTAGAAGAGCAGTCGGTGCTCTTAACCTCTGAGCCATCTCTCTAGCCTGACTGATTCTTTTTCATATATAAAAGTTTAGGTTTATGAGTCCTTTAATATTCCTTATAAGATTACCCTTCAAGATAAATAATGAAGTAATTGGCCTTTTCTTTGTAACTGAAAAAATGCATCCTGACTGAGAATATCTTGCTTGCCTACATGGTTAATCTATAACAAGATGCTTGGGTATGAATGTACATGCGTTCTTAGGATAATTTGTTTGCACCTGTAATATGTAATCATGTTAGGGGATATGGAAAACAGCCACATTGTAAATCCTACATTGCCTGAAAATGTTGGGGTATATTAGCTGTAGAAAAGATGTATACAGCAGAAAGAGCAAGAAGAAAAGAAAATAAAGAAGGAAACCATCAAGAGAGAGCATGAGTGTCTTTTTCCTTAACCCCTCAGATTGAAAAAAGTCTATTACGCACTGGTGCTATGGATTCCTTTTGAGCCCTGCGCTGGAAGCTACCCCCTGAGGCAGCGATCCCACTCCCTTCTCAGAAGAACAGTGTTGCAAGTTCTAGTTCCAGTGTCTCCCCTCTCTCCTTCCCCAGCCAGGATGTGACCTTCAGGATTATTGGTACTGCTTTCACTGAGTATTGGGCAATACTCACCGAGCTCACTGTAACTGCACCTTCCTGTTTCACTTTATACTCTTCTGGAAGGGTAGGGAACTCAGCTTCATACTCTAAAGGGAGGGAGAAAATGTTCAATTCCACACTTTGTTGACATTTGTGATGCAATTTCCTTCTTAGAATAAAACATTCTTAAACTTTATTTCACTTGGTACTTTACATAAATGAAACAAAATTGCTCATTGCAGGTTATTGGTTTTGATTTATTTATTCAAATAAGTCAGTGATGGATTGGAACCCAGGACTCTTCAGGGTAAGTGTTCTCCTGCTGAGCTATATCCCCAGCCACAATAGGTTGATTTCTTTAAGGCACCTTATTCAAAATGAGTAAGATGCTTTGTCCCTTGCATGAAAGTCAAGGCTTTATGTTAGAGTCCAAGACTCTTCATCAAACACTACAACCTCAGACTTTGCCCAAACATTATGGTAACCACAAAGGCAAAGCAGATTAAGACAAAGGCACTAGGGACTCAACAGGTCTCACACACACACATGCGCGAGTATACACACACACACACACACACACACACACACAGCAAACACACATATACACATTCAGGCAAAACACTAACATGGAATAAATCTTTAAAAGAACATTTATGTGTGTATGCATACATGTGTATGTGCAGAAGTAAGTGTGTGTGTGTGTGTGTGTGTGTGTGTGTGTGTGTGTGTGTGCTAGTCCAAAGGTCAGTGTCGTGTGTCCTCTTTAGTTATTTATTGAGACAGGTTCTTACTGAACCTGGAATGTACTAATTCTGCTGGATTTTCTGGCCATTGAGCTCCAAGGATCCACCTCCCCATCATAGGTGCTGGGGAATCAAGCCCAAATCAGGGCCCTCATCCTTGCATTACAAAGACTCTATTAAACAATTTCCTCAGTTCCAGGAATGTTTCATTTTATTTATTTTTATTATGTATACAGTGACCTGAGTGCATGTATGCTCGCATGCCAGAAAAGGGCACCAGATCTCATTACAGATGGTTGTGAGCCACCATGTGGTTGCTGGGAATTGAACTCAGGACCTCTGAAAGACAGCAGTCAGTGCTCTTAACCCCCAGCCATCTCTGCTTCCCCCCCCCCGAAATGTTTTCGTTTGTTTGTTATTATTTTGTTGATGATGTTTTCTGAAACAGGACTTACTGTATGGGCCTGACTGGCCTAGAACTCACTTTGCAGACCAGGCTAGCCTTGAACTGGTACTACTCCAAATGTCTTTGCCTCCTAAGTGCTGGGATTAATACCCAGTGCTGCCACCATACCCAGTACCCCATGAATTTTTTAAACAAGGTGGTTTACCCACAGTTTGATCCATTGTTTTTGTTCTTTCCTTCTTGCTGGGTATCAAACCTGACTGTGTGAATTTGAGGCAAGTATTCTATCACCAAGCTACTCTCAAGTCAATTTTTAAGTGCTCTGGCACTTAGGAAAATTGTTCTAACTTGTGCTGTAAGCACTTAAGGAAATCAGGTGTGCTGTTTATAGAGTCTATAACTTCTCTATTATCAGAGAGTTTAAGCAGAATTCATTGATCTGGGGAATTTAATGATATATGCATGGTAAATGAGCCTTAATCTAAGAACCAGTGGGACTGTGTAGGGAGCAGAGGTAGCCGGGAATGAATGAAGTCCTAAGTGAATGTGTGGCTGTAAACTGTGAACACCACCTACTTGTTTATCTGTAATAACCTCTTTTCCTTGGTGTTCATTTTATACAACATTCAAAGGCTGGTGAATGAATTTAGGGATCGTGGGAATTGAGGCAGCCAAGATACACTGCATTTCTGGACTGAGGTGACACTCCTTGAGATGGAACGTAAGCTGTTGTTGTCTATAAGCAGCAAGAGTCATGCCTGACCCAGTGACAAAGACAAGTTTCCAGCATAAGTAGATACATGTGACTGAGGCAGGACAACAACTCCTTGGGGAAGCAGGGTGGAAGCTACTCTGTTCTGGGTTGGAAAGGCAGTAGGCATGAGAGTGGTGTGAGAGGGGGTCATGTGTTCCTTTGAGAAGCCTGGCAGAGAGAGGAACACAAGAGAGGACAAGAGCTGGAAGAGAAGATGGATGCAAAAAATCTTTCCCTGCAATTACAGATCAGAGTATGTGAAGACATAAGCTAGGAGAGATGTGAAAGATGGGTGGTACCAAAGCCCAGAGAGCACTGAGCCATGAGTGGTAGGGTGTGCCTTTCTGTGTTTGTGTGTGTGTGGGGGGGAGTAGTCTTTGTTTTGAGACAGAGTTTGACTACATAGCCCTGGCTGGCCTGGGACTCATAGAGATCATCTTCATCTACTTTCCAAGTGCTGAAATTAAAAGTGTGCACTATATGTGTGTTGGCATAAACAAGTTGGATTTCCTGCCCATTCCCAACTGCAGACATCTTCTCAGTAAATGTGCCCTGTGCTAACTGGCAGGACCATTTATTTGGGTTAAAACTTGGACCAGTGGATATGGGAGGTGGGAGAAGACACTGATTAACACTGATGAGCAGTGCCCAGAGCTGGTTGGTGTCATTTTCTCTGGCTGGCTCATCTGCTTTGTTGGAGGAAGAAGCATGCATTCAGGGCGGACCCATGCTAGGATCTGACCAGTGGGATGAGGGACCTACTTTCTAAGGACATTCAGGGCTGCTGAGCTTGAGAGTGATTAATTGATGAATCAAGAACAGCAAGAGGATATTGATAGCAATAATCACAATGGTGTTAAAATAGGCAATGAAGAGCTTCAAATACCAAGGCTCACTGTTGCTCAAAACCATTAACATCACAAACCACTCTTATGATTTAATTAGAAGCACTGGAAGAAAGGAAGCTTATTTATAACAACGCAATCTTGAGAATACAAAAACTTTATAGTTGTTGCTGGGAAAATGAGGAAGAACACTGATGAACATTTACAAATAGGTTACTGGATGGGGAGGCAGGCAGGTGCACACACAGCAACAGTGGAGCCAGGGAGAAAGGACTTAAGTTAGATACTGACTGATGTTGTACCTTGTTTTCATGAAATTGAGTTCCTGTGATAATTTTTTAGTGGATTCATGGTAATAGAATGCAATAACTAACTTCAGGGATAAGATTACCAGAAAGAATATGATCCCCCACCCCTTTTTCTTGGGTCTTTGGGGGAGACTTTGTAGCTCAGGCTGGCTTCAAATGCTGGGTCTTTCAATTTTGGCCCCTGGAGTACTAGGATTACAGATGTGCACCACTACACCCAGCTCTGTGCTTCCTCTAAGAAGGTGAATATACTATGTTCTTACTATATAAAACTACATTGTTTACATGTATATAAGAATTAGGTTTAGTCGTTCTTCCAGTTAGCTTGAGCTTTTCAATTCGACACAAACCAGAGTCATCTGAGGGAGTCTCTACTGGGGGACTGTTTCAAACAGACTGGCCTGTGGACATGTCTGTGGACATTTTCTTAGTCAAGATTCATTGATGTGAGCAATATGAACACTGGACAGATGGTCCTGGTTTACATAAGGAAAGCTGGCTTAGCCACAGCTCCGGGAGCCAGTCAGTATCGTTTCCCATGGTCTCTGCTTCAGGTTCCTGCTTTGAGTTCCTGTCTTGGCGTCCTTCAACTGTGGACTAGAAGCTATTTATTGAAACAAACCCTTTCTTCCCCAAGTTGCCTTTGGTCAGTGTTTTATCACAGCACAAGAAAAATAACTTGGACAGTCATCTAAGTTGAAGTCATGGTGGCCATATACAGAACCCATCATCACCACCTCATTGCTCAACAGCTTTTACTTTGCGTCATCAATTCACTTGCTTTTCAGAGAACACTGAAACCTTTTGTCCCTGATTTTACCCAGACATGACAGCACCAAAGAAAACTGATTCCACAACAGAAGGCAAAGCAAATTTCTTTATCAATATTTAAAATCATGTATTGATTATTTCAACATCCAGGGCATCTTCTCATATATTATCTCATTTGGCTCCCACTAGAGCCCTTGGAGGTAGGAACTATCTCCCCCATACAGTACCTCCCAACACTACTTGTGACACTGCAAAATTGACAGGGTCTAGAATCACTTAGGGAACAAACCTCTGGGCATGTCTGTAAAGGAAGTTCCTGGATTAGATTGAGGCGGAATGATCCTCTCTGAATTTGGGCAGCACCTATCCTATGGGCTGGGGTCCTGAACTGAATAAAAAGGAGAAAGTGAGTTGAACCCCAGAATCCATCTCTCTTTGTTTCCTGGTTATAGAGGCAATGGGCCTGGCTGCCATGACCATGAGCTCCTGCTGTAATGATAGACTACATAAGCATTGCAGCTTGGATGTAAAGATATCCTGGCAGTCAGGAGCCAAGGAATACCACAAAGTGTTTGTTAAGCATAGGAGCTTATAGCTCTGCTCTGGGGAAAGTCTTCCCCAAAGTAACAACTCTGCCCTGGCAGGGGAAGTTTTCCCCAGAGAAGAAGTTATAGCTCTGCCCAGGTCCAGTGAAGTGTTACTGTAGGCACTTTTCTGCCCCACCACCTGTTCCCCAAATAACCACACAGAGACTTAATACTAATTATAAATGTTTGGCCAATAGCTTAGGCTCGGTTTTAGCTAGCTCTTAGAACTTAACCCATTTCTATTAACCTATGTGCTGCCCCGAGGCTCGTTTACCTCAAGTATGTACTTCCATCTTGCTTGCTCTGTGTCTCATGGCATCTCCTGACTGCAGCCTTCTTCTGCCCAGCATTCCCTCTGCCCGGAAAATCTTGCCTAGCCATCGGCCAATCAGCTTTTTATTAACAATGAGAGCAACACATCTTCACAGTGTACCAAACGAGTATTCCACAGCATGTTACAGCTCTGCTCCATTTAAGGGCAAGTTTCCCCAGCAAAAGTGTTACAGTTTTCTTAGGTCCCCCAGAGTGTAACAACTCTGCTCCACTAGGGGAAGGATTCCCCTATAGTTCTGATCCAGCCAAAGTTGTTATCGCTGGGCTTCGCTCCAGTGAAAATGTCACACAGCACAACAAATCTCACTCAAGAGATTTACTGTGAAGGAAGAATCCAGGAGGGTGGCTGCCTCTGCCTCTAGGTTGATATATGGGGTTCCTTGGCTGGGGGCAGAGCTTTCCAGGGTGGCTTGGGATTGGTGGGATTTAGTGCTGGAGGCAGGGGGGGGAGGGGGGAGCTCAGGGACTGGTGGGAATCTGTGCTCAAAGATTGGTGGGGTTTTGTGCTCAGGGACTTCCAGAATTGGTGTGATTCCAATCCCTGTTCCCAAGTCAGGGTCAAGGTACTTTTCCTTGGCCCCTATCACCCCACAGACTGTACCCTCACACTGTGAGCCCAAACAAACCCTTTCCTGGGTTGCTTTTGTCAGGGACTTTTTTTTTTTTTTTTCCGTGACAGGGTTTCTCTGTGTAGCTTTGTAGACCAGGCTGGCCTCGACCTCATGGAGATCCACCTGCCTCTGCCTCCCAAGTGGTGGGATTAAAGGCATGTGCCATCATTGCCTGACTTTGTCAGGGATTTTCTTCACAACATTGAGAAAAGAAACAAACCACACGATGTAGTTGAAACTGAACTATGAATAACTATTAGCCTGGAAAAGTGGATTTTCTGGATAAAAGACAACAATAAATATAAGGACACTCAAATATTGCTATAGATCCTCAGGTAAGGACCCTAAGGGTGGAACTTAAAGAACATCAAAATGAAACATTTTGCTCTATAACAAGTATTACACAGAAGAAGGATTCAAACCCTATGGGTTGAACTAGATGGTTTAGGGGTACTGACTGATTCTGAGCCCACAACTCTCTTTTTCCTCTCTATTCTCTATTCCTTCCAACTCATCTCTCTTCCCTTTATATACTACCAATTCAGTTTCCAGTCAATAAATATTTACTGACCTGTAACTATTCCGTGCATCGGCTGTATATTGCTACTTAAATTTATTAAAGTAAGAAAATTGGTTCTTCGCTGGGCGTTGGTGGCGCACGCCTTTAATCCCAGCACACGGGAGGCAGAGGCAGGCGGATCTCTGTGAGTTCGAGGCCAGCCTGGTCTCCAGAGCGAGTGCCAGGATAGGCTCCAAAGCTACACAGTGAAACCCTGTCTCGAAAAAACAAACCAAAACAAAACAAAACAAAAACAAAAAAAAGGAAATTGGTTCTTCAATTCTGCCAAATACATTTAACACCACAGATCACTGAAGGTTCTATTGATACTGTATTGAGACAGTCAATGTAACAAGAATGAAAATCTTCCAGTAGTTGGGAGGCTAAGGCAGGAATAATTTGAGCTGGAGGCCATCCTGCAGTACAAATCGAGAAAAGAGAAAAGGGAGAGGGGTCTAGAAGGGACTGGGAAAGAGTGAGAATGATTAGGAATGAATCTGTGTCTTTGACTTTGAGATCTGAAAGCTCTGGAATGAAGGAAAACTAACACTCTTCCCGTAACCAAGGACTTGTGGCTACGTGGTTCCGTCTCCTAACATCACGACGTACATACCATTGTTATGCCTGGAAGACTAACACAGGACCCCACGACCAAGGTACATGGGCTTCAAAGGAACAAGTGAGCTTGTTTGAGTTTGTGGGAGTTCAGAAAAGCTTGGGGCAAGAAGAGATCAAAACCCATCTGTCCACACCTAAGTACTCCCCAAATGGGCCACTGTCTGCCTACACTGGAATTACCTGGACCAGTCTACAGAGCCCATTCCCTGCTTTCCATCGGAAGCTCTGCGGGTGGTCCGGGTCTTCACCCCGAAGCTCCACACCACGCAACTCCCTGACTCGGTTTCCTCCTGCATGCCTGTTGCCTGTGGTCGCACCGGAATCCAGACAGCCGCCAGCCTGTTTCTTCGCGTGTGGGCCCGAGGCTAGTCCGCCCCCGTACGTCACCCGCCTGGCGCACAGAGGTTCGGAACGCGCGTCCCCGCGGGTCCCGCCCGAGTCCCGCTAGGCCCGGCCCGGCCCGGTCAGCGGTGGCCGCCTACCCTCGCAGATCTGCTCCCACAGGTTCTTTTCCGGCGGCTCGGCGACCTGAGGGAGCGACACGAGCCTTTCTGGGGACCCGGACGACACTGCGGGCACGGGCGTCCGCGTAGTGACCGACGAGTTCGCGGAACCTCCCGCCTCCTCGCGCTGAAAGCTGCGGTTGGACACCGGTCTGAGCGCCGCCATGCACGCGGTTTCCACAGCAACCGTGGGCAGCATGGGGCCGCGACCCGGAAGAAGACGGCCATCCCGGGGGCGGGAACAAGATGCGAAGATGACTTCCGGGTCGCGGCGGCGCGGGCGCTCACGTGGGGAGGCTTGTCCTGAGGGTGGACCAGGTGAGTGTGGGTGGCGGGGGCGGGCTCCGGAGTGGGGCCTGCTTAGTGAGGAAGAGGAGGAACAAAGATAAGTCACCCCCAAACCTGCCCACAGCCCTCTGTTTCTCCCCAAGTCCTCCCGCCTTTCAGTCGGGAGCCTGCAGTTGGCGAAGACAGCACAGTCCTCTGTTTCCGAATACGAGTTTTGCCGTTTGCTGACTTTGGGGTCACACCAATTCTGCCTGAGGGCTATCGCGGGAATTTAAAAGTGCATAAAGATCGGGCGTCTGTGCCCACGTCAGTAACTCCAGCACGCGGGATGCTGAGGCAGGAAGAGCACGAGTTGCAAACCAGCCCGGCGGTGTAGCCAAGCTTTACCTAAAAAAACAAAGCGCTTTTGAAGAAAGCATGTGTTTCTAGGTGATGCAGTGTAGGTTCGTTTCCACTTCTGACGAGAGTGGACACCTGCGCAGGAGGATGTTACAGGGTGCTGAGTGGCAGCGCTGAAAAGTGGGTTAAGCTGACTCCTTGAACTTTTGTATCCCACTCACCTCTCTTAACTACTACCCCCAATCCTGTAGCATCCTGGTCTTACTTGACACCACCCTCTAGGGACTTGCATCTTCCTCCTTTGCATGAGTCCCCATCCTTTGTCTTCTAAAAGTCTGTATGCCTTGAGGCCCAGCCTGTTCCCTGCTTAATTACCATCCCTGTAGTCCTCTTTATGTCATCCATGTTGGCCAGAGTCACACCTTTGCCTCAGACCTGTACATACACCTGTTAAGTGCATATCAAGGCATCTGTTCAAGGCAACTGCCCAGTCACCCTCCACTTTTGTCTAAAGGGTTGACACCACCATCCCTCTATTGCTTAAGCTAGAAAATCATGTTCAAACATTTTCTTGACAACTGGACACAGTGTGCTAGTTAGTTGTATGTTGACTTAACACAACCTCGAGTTATTTGAGAAGAGGAACTCATAGTTGAGAAAATGCCTCCATAAAATTAATCTAGCCCGGCATTGGTGGCGCAGACCTTTAATCCCAGCACTCGGGAGGCAGAGGCAGGTGGATCTCTGTGAGTTCGAGGCCAGCCTGGTCTCCAGAACGAGTGCCAGGATAGGCTCCAAAGCTACACAGAGAAACCCTGTCTTGGAAAAAAAAAATTAATCTATAGGCACATCTTTGGGGGCAATTTTGGATTAATGATTGATGTGGGAGGGCCCAGCCCACTGGGTAATGTCACCCCTGGGAGGTGGTCTTGAGTTGCCTGAGAAAGCAGGCCGAGTTAGCCATGAGGAGCAGCGTTGCTCCATACATCTGCATCACTTCTTTGGTTCCTGCCTTGAATTCCTGCCCTCAGTGATGGAGTAACATAAAAGTGTAAGATGAAAGAAATCCTCTATGCAGGTTGCTATTGGTTGTGTGATTTATCACAGCAATAGAAGCCCTAACAGACAGGATTGTTATGTGACCTTCCTAATCCTGAACTTAACAAACTGTCTTGCTTCTTTTGGTCCTTGTGGGGAGAGAGAGTTGAGCTAGCTTCCTATGTACCCCTGGCTGGTCTGGCACTCAATATGTAGACCAAGCTGGCTTCTAACTTGTGATTTTTTTCCTGGCTCTGCCCATAACTTCCCAAACTTTCCAAGCTCAGGATTACATAATTGCCATCATGTGTGGCCTGCACTTCCTCCTATCACCTCTGTCATCTTGTTATGTGTCTTCTCCCCATCCACCTGTCTTTTGATGACTGGTGTTTATCTCATTCATCTGTGAATCATAAGTAGTCCTGTAGTAAGTATTGACAACCTGCTACAGGCCAGGCACTGAGCAGTTCCAGGATACATCAGGCCAATAGGGAAGACTGGGATGAATGCATGGGTTAGATATTATTAACAGAAATGTCCATGTAACCGTAGAGCAAGGTGTGAATGAACTTGAACTGTAGCCCAGGCTTGGCCTAGATCTTTGAAGCTTCAAGGAATGACCTGAGTCTTGTGTAGACCCTGTGAGTGCTGCAGGATGGAGTTGTTCCTGGTCTCCTAATTGCCACCTCCCCCACTTAGAAGCCTCTGGTGTTTTGTCTCTAGATTCCCTCTAGTCCAGGGAGTAGCAAGAACCATTGGTGACTACTTAAAACCATGTATTGAGGCCTCTAGCCGCTTATCATAAGTACTTGTTTTCCTGAGGAAAGCTAGGTAGGTACTCAAGGTTTCTAAGTGTCATTGCCCCTCATTAATTCTTAGCAATCACTTTGAAATTGAAAACAGTGAAACAGTCTTGCAGACTGAGGCAGTCTGAAATTGAGTACCTTCTGATTCAGCCTTTATATGGGTAGGAAAACTGAGGTTCAGAGAAGCCAATGGTATAAAGCAAGAAAGAGTATATTAGTGTTTCCATTTGACCCAAGTGTTTGGAGTTCTGGCTGAGGCCTGTCTCACTGTGCTGCATCATTTAGGTAGCTTGGGATGGTAAAAGTTGGGGGATGGGATTCATTCGTAACTTAGCATGGGAGTGCTATTTGGATGAGACAGAGAAAGGGGTTGACTTAACTATGCCTCTTTATTGAATCTGGTGGGAGTCAGTGAGGAGGGCTGCTTGGAATTTCTCTCTGTGACATCTAGTAAAAGGGAAGCCCCGGGGACCAGCCACAGTTGGTTTGATCACTTTTGGCTCCTGCAGTGCTGGCTAGGGTAGGTGCTTGGTAAATATTTTTTGAGTTTAGGTCTGGGGGCTTTAGGAAAATGTGGACAAGGTCTCAGTAGTGCTCAAAGCCTTTTCTGTAGGTTTTCTAGCACCTCTTCAAGGATGGGTGTATTTTGTCCGCCCAGAAAAGGCACCTGACACAGGTTAGGTGATCCAGTCAAGTCAAGCAAGTAGTTTGGGTTTGAACGAAGGGCCATCTGAATTTATACTTCCTGCCATTTGAATGTCTTTCCTCTTGTTACCAATGAATAGGAACTGTTTGCCCCATCCCCCCACATTTCAAACTGTCCACTCAGAAACACTGAAGAACTTCAGGACCACACTGGGACTGGGTAAAATGATAATTGCATTATTTGTTTTTGTCCTCAGGAATGGTCACCAAGACTCAGAAAGTAGACCTGGGCCCACTGCTCCCAGAGAGGAAGAAAAAGAAGAAGAAAAAGAAGGTGGTGGTTGCAGAGGTGGCAGAACCAGAGACTCAATACTCAGTCCTAAACAATAATGATTATTTTGTCGATGTTTCTTCTCCAAGGGCCACATCCCCCTCTAACAATGTGGATGAAGGGCAGGTCCCTGAGATGTCATCAAGCAAGAGAAAGAAGAAAAAAAAGTCCCCTAGTGCTCACTTGAAGGAGCACCTACAGTCTGAGACCATACGGGCAGGACAGAAAAAGTCCCTTAGCCCTAGAAGGCAGGTCCTTGAGCAGTCAGCAGAGTGCCTCATCGGAGAGAAGAAAAAGAAGAGGAGGAAGTCCTTACCACAGGCCACCTCCCAAGGCTCATGTCTGAAGACCTCACCAGACCCCAGGCATGCTGAGGAGGTAAGCAAAGCTGGTAAGAAGTCCAAAAAACACAGGAAGGAAAAAAAGGTTCTGGACATGGAAACCTTTCTTCCCCAAGACTCTTGGCTCTATGAGGCTGGGGATGCTCTGCACCCATGCTCATGGAGGATGGAGGCTGAGGAGCAGTCAGCCTTGGGGCAGAAAAGGAAGCAGGGGAGCCCCAGAGAGCACAGCATGAAGAAGAAGAAAAAGAAGACCCACCAAGAGGGAGACATCCCCCCAGTCTACTCCAGGTTCTCCATGGAGAACAGCCTGAAGAAAAGAAGCAAGAAGTCATTCAAAAGTGAGGCTTTGGAGTACATCCCGATAGACAGCCGGAAGGCCCCTGGGAAAAAGAAAGCGAAATCCAAGAAAAAGGTGGAAAAGCTAGATGGTGAAGGGCTGGCTGTGAAAAGGAAGAAAAAGAAGAGGAAAGAGAATGGAGTAAAGGAAGACCCCTGGCGGGAGGAAGAAGAAGTAGGTTTGCTTGGGCGTGGGGTTGCCATACGAGTGCCTGTATACATGTCAACATGGGCACTTGTGCATTTAGCTGATGGAACTCCAGGTTTGTGTGTGTGTGTGTGTGTGTTAATATGTGCTAGAAAAGGATAGAAGTTATCCGTTTTCAAGTGTAAACTGGACACTTGTGCATTTATCTGACAGAACCCCAGCATGTGTGGGTATGTTACTATGTACTGGAAAATGACAGGAATTGTCTCTTTTTAAGTAAACAGGGTCCAGGACTCCTGTAGCATCCCTAGTAGTACAGGGGTCCTTCACCATCCATAAATGAGGGTCTTTTTTTTACATGAATATCTTATGGCTTGTGTTCTTTCTACTTGTTGACTACCTCTAAAGCCTGATTCTAGCTCACAGACAAGGACAGTGTTAGGCTGAAGGGAATTTGCCTGAGGTTACCCAGCTGGGACCAAGTAGAGTTGAGGCTCACACCCAGGCATTGATGCTTCTGGCTCAGGAGATCCCTGAATATGTTAAGAGAGGCCAGTGTGTCCTTTCCCAAAACCCAGTGTCTCAGCAGCCCAAGAAATGACCATCTTCATTGAAGCAGGAGCAAGCCCTGGCTTCTCCAGCTCTGCCAGCCATTGCCCTGTGCCCTCCCTCCTATGAGTGATGATGGGCATTTACTGAGGAGCACCTTGGGAGATAGGGCCATCAGCAAGACATTGTTGGCCTGCATCTTTCCCAAATGGGGTTCAGGTGACAGGGATGGTTCCATGTTGGGGCCTGCAGGGTGCTTCTGACTGCTGGCATTCTCCCAGCTCATTCGGTAGGCTTGCTTATAGAAGTCAGAAGACAATTTGAGGAAGATCGTTCTTTCTTTCATTATGTGAGTCCTGGGTAAACTTAGGTCAATCAGGCATGCTGGCAAGCTGAGCCTACTGCTCTTTATTCAGAAACTCAGAGCAAGGGAGGTTTAATGGGTAAGAGTGCTTGCTCTGTAAGCACTGGGACCTGAGTTCAAATCCCCAGTAGCCATCTAAAAGCTGTGCATGGCAATATGTGCCTGTGACCTCAGCACTGGTGAGGAGGGAGATTTCAAGAGCTAGCCAGCTTCTGGTCCTTTGAAATACGTTCATCTCAAGGCAATGAAGAAGAAAATGACAGAAGACCCTAATTGCCTCCAACTGTGTGCACTCATGTGCATGCAACATCCAAAATTCAGGATGAGAGGAACCCAGAGGTTTAAAGCTAGTTCCCAATTAATTTTAGGACCACTTTCCCCAAGCAGACCAGGGAAAGGTATCCCCTCTGCCTCACACATCCAGACAACCTACACAGTTTCCTGAGTCACACAGGCCAGGCCAGGAGTAATGGTGTAAGAAGGAGTAAGGAAAGCCCCCCTCCCCCAGTCATCTCATATACACATGCATATACACAGGGCCAAGCACAGCATTCTTTTTTTTTTTTTTTTTCTTATTTGAATTAGAAACAAGATTGTTTTACATGTCAACCCCAGTTCTCTCTCCCTCCCCTCCTCCCCTACAACCCACCCACCCCCAACTAAAACCCTACCTATCATATATCCTTTCTGCTTCCCCAGTAGGTGAGGCCATCCATAGGGTGTCATTAGAGTATCGTATCCTTTGGGATAGGGCCTAGGCCCACCCCGTGTGTCTTGGCTCAGGGAGTATCCTTCTGTGTGGAATGGGCTCCCAAAGTCTACACCTACAAGCACAGCATTCGAAAGAAAGAATGCAAAAGCTGTTGGCAGTTGTCATTTGTGGTAGACCCCTGGCATGACTTCCAGTTAGAGGGTAACCTGAGGAGCTGGATAAAAATGGTTGGAGATACCCCTCCTAAGCCATCAGCAAGCCAAGGGTAACTTAATTGCATACCAGCCATTGAATCAGGAGACCTAGATTGGAGTTAGCTCTGTCACTGAGCTGCAAGGTAGCCTGGTTATAATTCCCTTTACCTCTCTGAGCCTCAGCTTCTTTGTCATCTGGCTTAATGCCACCATTCGCTAGGGAGATGCATGAAAGGGAAAGTGGGCAAGGCTTTGTTGGCTGAGGTTCTGTCTGGGTGGCAGAAGCTAGTACTGTTGTGCTTTCTCGTTTTTCCTAGATCATATGACTTTACTCAGTAGGCTGCTGGGGCTGGGACGATCACCGATTACCTGAGTTAATATCTGCCTGTCTTCCCTGCAGCAGTCAGACACAGACCTGGAGGTGGTACTGGAAAAGAAAGGCAACATGGATGAGGCTTGCATAGATCAGGTATGGCCCAGCCTGTCCTGTGCCCTCCCTTACCTCTTGTCACTCCCTAGGAACGAACCCTCAGCAATCATCAGGCCACAAGTTCCTGTCCTCAGAGGGACAAGGGTCTCCAAAGGCCTCTTGGCCAATTCCATGGCACACCTCTAGGGGCAGGTGGACTTGTACCTTTCTGAACCTCTGGCCAGGGGATCACAAAGCTGCTATGACTATTTCTGAGGCCCTTCCATGTAGCCCATTGCAGGGTGTCAGAAAGATGGGGTCCTATGACCCTGTAGCTAGAGCAGATACATGTGCCCAGCCACTAATTGAGGAGCTGGAGAGAGAGATATCTTAGAGACTAGTTTCCACTCTCATGCACAGATTCCTGTGTGGGATTTAGATTTTGTAGAGATGGGATGTTTTTATGTTCCTTGGCCTTAGTGCCTGGCAGGACTGAGGAGCTGTGGGGGCAGCCTGGTGTTAGTCCATGGTTTACTGGCTGCTGACCCCTCTCTTCTGTGAATCATCATGGATCTTTACAGGCAGCTATGGAGACCAAGGGGAGGGTGTATTGGAAGGAGTCACAAGTCCAGATAGATTGCAGCCCCATGGTGCCTGCTGAGGCTGCACTGTGACAGATTGGATAATCCTGCCTCACAGGTCCACCTTAGGAGAGAAAGGAAGGTGGGGGTTGTGTTTAGAAGTGGGTAGGGCCTGAGGAGGGCCACCCAGAAAAGATGGTGATACGTCAAACCTGCTGTAATGCTATGGGTGTCAGGGACTACACTTCAGGAGAGTGATGCATGCTGTGGCTAAGGGGAAAACCAGAGGAGTGATGCTGCTAGAGCCTCTCTCCAGGACAGACCTGGACCACTGACCTCCAGGCAGTTTATAACCTCCCTGCAGGGCTAGGGACACCATGCAGAGGGGTTGACCATGGGGCTTCCATTCTCCCAGGCCCTATCTCTTAGTTGCTCTGTGGGCTGCTGGAGTGCTGGCAGAGACCCTGAGTTGGCCTAGCCCAAGAGTGCCCATTGCACTGTAGGCTGCTGGGGTGCTGACAGAGACCCTGAGCTGGCCTAGCCCAGGAATGCCCAGTGCTCTGCTTCTTCCATGACCACAAGCTTCTGGAGGTTTCAGCTTCTGCAGATGAATAATCCAATGATCAGAAAGGTTAGGTAAGTTTTACAAGGCTGCACAGCAGGTTAGCATTGTTGGGATTGCAACTTGTGTCTGCCTTGTTTATAGAAAGCAGTGCTGTCCTTGTGGAAGTTGACTACAGTATACACTGAACAAGACAGGACCTAGGCATTGCAGTGTGGACAAGTTTGAAAACACCACTGTTACAGACTATTCTTCTGGTAAAGGTGGATGACCCTCTGTTATAAGAAAATCACTTCTCAAGAACTTGTGCCCAAGACAAGTATTTCAGGACAGGGGACCAACTATTAACCAGAGTGTCCTGTGTACTTGGTAGCAGAGTGAAGCTCTTGATCTGCTGCCCCACACCCCAAGCCTACCTTTGTGCAGCGTTAAAATTCTGGGTCTCAGTAGCTGATGGAAGCAGAGGCAAACACCCACAGCTTAACACTGAGCTGAACTCTGGAATCCAGTTGCAGAGAGGGAGGAGTGATGAGCAAAGGGTTCAGGACCAGACTGGAGAAACCCACAGAAACAGCTGACCTGAACAAGTGGTTGCTCATGTACCCCAGACTGATAGCTGGGAAACCAGCATAGGACTTTTCCAGACCCCCTGAATGAGGATGTCAGTTTGGAGATCTGGTTAGTCTATGGGGCCTCTGGTAGTGGATCAGTATTTATCCCTAGTACAGGAATGGACTTTGGGAGCCCAATCCACATAGAGGGATATTCTCCCAGCCTAAACACACAGGGGAGGGTCTAGGCCCTGCTCCAAATGATATGACAGACTTTGTAGATCCCCATGGAAGGTCTCACCCTCCCTGGGGAGCAGAAAGGAGTTGGGATAGGGGTCTGTTGGGGGGCAGGAGAGGAGGGGAGGGAGAGGGAACTGGGATTGACATGTAAAAGAAGATTGTTTCTAATGAAAAAAAAAAGATTCTGGGTCTCATCACCCTCTTCTTTTGTCCTTGCATAGGTGAGGCGGAAGGCCTTGCAAGAAGAGATTGACCGTGAGTCGGGCAAGACAGAGGCTTCAGAACACCGGAAGTGGAAGGTGGGTTTATTGTGGTATGCTTGATATCCAGAACCTAAGGTGGACAAGCACAGAATTGGTCTGAGCCAGCTTCACTTCCTCTAAAGGAGTGCTGGTCTCCCTGCCAGGAAGCTGGTGATGAGCCACCTAGACTTCGTATACTGTTGTAGCTGATGGAGTGGCCTGTAGACTAATCACAAGGGGCTCTTTGTAGCTATGAGAAGTGCCCATAGAGGGCTGCTTGGAGCATGGAGGACGTGTGGAAGGCCTCTTAAGACTCTAGACCCTTAAGTCTTTTCCAAGTCCTAAGACTTGGAAAATGTCCAGACCTTCCCTGAGAAAATAGGCCAGGTAAGAGATATGAGGGCCATGGACTTGGCCACATAGGTTGTTGGGCCTGGTCATAGCACCACCTCTCTGCCTTCAGTCAGTTGCCTAACCTCAGCCCCTAGCTGGCATCCACTCTGTGCTCGAACTATGCTGGGTGTGGAGATACACAGTACCCTCATCATCATAGTCTGGCTGGTGCATTGGTTCTCAACCTGTGGGTCACGACCCCCTTGAGGATCAAATGACTTTCACAAGAGTCGCCTAAGAACCTTTGGAAAACACAGATATTTATATTACAACTCATAACAGTAACAAAATTATAGTTATGGAGTAATGAAAACAATTTTATGGTTGGGGGTCATCACAACATGAGGAACTTTGTTAAAGGGCCATAGCATGAGGAAGGTTGAAAACCACTGGTCTGGGGCCTGGGGGCGGGGGATGTTGAGTGTAGGGGGTGATAAGCTGTATTAGATGCTTCTCGGGGCAGGTGACACTTGTCCTAAGACCCTGAGTGTGGTGGTACCAGTCCTTAGCATGCAGGGCAGTGGCAAATGCAGGTCCCAAAAGTGGGAATGAACTCAGACTGGACCCTTGCAAAGGCCAGACTGGTGACAGGGTAGCAGGAACTAGCTGATGTGTCACAGCAGCCCACTCCGGGACCACAGGAACATTTCTACTGGGCAGTGACCTGAGGGAGCGACTGTAGAGTATAGGTGCAGGAAGGGGACTAGGAGGTAGAATAGAAAGTTTTATAATGTGTTGGGGTTGGAGGGAAGACCTCCCTGGAAGGAGGGCCAGTCTGCCTGCCAGACTCCTGCTTAATAGCATTGATTTAGATAGAATGTCTGAGGCCAATTACTGACCGCCACTCTCTAGTGTCTTCTCCTTGGAGAACCTCAGCTTCCATTCCTATGAAATGGGGCTACTCTTATGGTCCCAGGGGGCGGGGGTGTGGTGGGGGTTTTTTGTTTGTTTAGATAGGGTCTCGTGTAGCCTCTCATACTCACTGTGTAGGCAAGTATGAACTGCTTGAACTAATTCTCCTGCCTGTGCCTCCCAAGTGCTGTGATTACATGTATGCATACTAGGCCTGGTTTATACATTGCTAGAGATAGAACCTAGGGCTTTGTGCTTGCTAGGCAAGCACCTTACCAACTGAGCCACATCTCTAGCCCTGGAGTTTTATTAGGTGTCTTCTTTCTCTCTTACCTCTTAAGCTAAGCAGAGCTGATAGGACAGCAAATTGAATAAATAGACCAAAAGACATGGTCACATCATTCAACCAGGGCTCTGGGCACCATTCTCGAGTAATCTAGCTGCCAGTGCATGGGTCCTGGAGGCATCCGGGATACTCTGGGTGTCCTTGCCTCCTAGGACCTTGGTCACCCGCCTATGGAAATTCCATTGCATTGGTGGGAATTCCAGACCAGCAGGACCCGAAGTCCTAGAAGAGCCAGCTTGCCAGGCCCAGTCAGCCCTTGGCTGTGGACTTAGTTCTAATTGGTGTCACAGGTAGCATCTGCCTTAGAAACTGCAGCCTAGGAAGCCACACTTAATGTGGGTCACATAAGGCTGGAAGAATGTCACCAGTTCATCTAGAACAGCTGTGGTGACATCTGTTCTGATTGTTCCCCCAACACCAACCTGGAAATGAGTGCTAGGCTGGCATTTGGCTCCCAGGCCATGTGGAGGTCAGTAGTCAAGTGGTGAAAAGCGGCCTAGGATGTACTGAAAACTGTATGCTGGTGCTTTGGCACAAGGTCTGACTCAGTTCTCTCCAATGCTGTGTGAAGGTGTTAGCCCATTAGAGGATGACTTTGAGGCTTAGGGAGAATGGCTGTGACTTGATCAGCCATACAGGTGGGGCCGCATCCCATGATGCATAACTTCAACATCACAGTCTTGGGGACCTGGGCTTCCTGCCCTTTTTACAGAAAGACCTTACAGAGATGGGGTGGGTTTTGAAGACTGCTCACATTTTCTAGCTCAATTGGCATCTCTATACTGGTGATAAATGCAGCACCTCTGGTTCTTGACCCTACTCCTCTTGGTCAGGAGTACCTGGCTCGTGTGTGCCAAGTTGTGAGGCAGCTTTGCTATGTTGTGGCTAAGGGGACGGGTGATGTGCTCTATTCTATGGGAAGATGAGGAAAAGGAAGAGGGAAGTGGCTTGTTGCTTAAAGCACTTCCACTCAAGCAAGCATGAGGATTGAAGTTTGAATCCCCAGAAGCCCCATGAAAGCTAGACACACAGCACAAGTGTCTGTGATCCCAACACTCCTGTGAGGTGCTGGGAGTCTATTGTATGACACTGATCTATGGATCTACAGCCAAACTTCTACTTACCCCATATAGGAACTGATGTCATACCAAAGTAATGATACCGCCAAAGTCAGAGTTGCTGAATAAATTGTTTATTGGGGTTACAGTAGTATGGGTGAGGGGTTACTTAGAAGAGTATGAATAACTGAAGGGTGGCTGGCTGCATTAACAAAAGTCCACCTCAGCGTGAGTGACAACTCATGAAAGCTGAAACTCTGGAGGCTGCTCAACTGCTTTACAGTCCTTCCTGTTCACGTAACATTGACCAAGGGGCCTTGTGATCTGCTAAATTCCAGGGACTATCTGAGACTTGTGAGTTTACTTCCTGGGTCTTTATAAGCTTCCCTCTCAGAATGGATACTTAAAATCAGAGAATGGCTACACAGCACAGGTTATACAGGAGGATCTCTGGAAGCTCAGGGCCAGCCAAGCATATGCAGCAGAAAAATCAATTGAGATCTTGTCTCAAATAAGGTAGAAGACAAGGACCAACCCCTGAGGTTGTCCTCTGACCTCCATACATGTGCACATACATTGTATATGAACACGCACAAAATACAAGTTGGACTATGAGAAGGTTGAGATGTATTACAAAGTCAGGTGAGGTGTGCTTGTGTTTTGATGTATGGTGTATGATATATGAAGTGAGGTGAAGTTTCTTGATGTCGCCATGTGTTGGGAGAAAGTAGAGCTTGAATTAGCTTGGTGTGCAGTGATGCACTTATTAGAAACCAATGGTGGGCTCTCTGGCTGGTCATTGTCATTCACTGGGAGTCGTCTTGACACATCACTCCCATTAAGCTTTAGGGCTCATTAGGATGGATGAAACAGTCCATTGCTTGACTGAGGGTGGGGGAACTGTTTGTCTTCAAAGGCAATGACAACCTTCTACTCTCCACTCAGGGAACCCAGTTTGGCCAGTGGGACACTGCTGGCTTTGAAAACGAAGAACAGAAGCTAAAATTCCTGAAGCTTATGGGTGGCTTTAAACATCTGTCCCCATCATTCAGCCGCTCTCCCAGCATGACTAACAGGTCCAACATGGCCCTAGACAAGAAGTCTTCAGACATGCTCCGGCAGAATCTGCAGCAGGACTATGACCGGGCCATGAGCTGGAAGTGCAATCGTGGGGCTGGCCTGGGCTTCTCCTCTGAGGCCCGCAAGGTCTTCTACATTGACCGGAACGCCTCCAAGTCTATCAAGTTGCAAGATTAAACTTTATTGTCCTGTTCCTCAAACTGCATTTCTTAATCAATTTTGCATCTGCCAAATTGGCTTGGATCAGGCACCTGCAGATACTGAGGAGCATTCTCAATGAGTTTTAAACAAGCAGGAGCCAGTACCAGTGGCTAAAACCTCTTATTTTCTGTATTAAATTTTCCACCCCTTTGGGTGGAAGTATTTTAAGTAATAGTAGCTAGCAGTTGTTGACTCATACGGGGCCCTAACTAAAGTGTTTTCCTTGTATTGATGTATTTAAACCTAATTATGGAATGGGTGCTACTCTCATCTCCATCTTATGGATGCCGCATCTTAAGTTCAGGGATAAAGTAATACAATCACCAAGGGTCACCTTCCGTTAAGTGCCATCAAGAGTACATCGCCCTGCATCACTCAATCAGTGATCAGTGAATGGAGAAATCAAGTGTTATGCCATGTCTTCCATGGGGACCAACAAGTTTGTTTCCTCCTCCTCAGGAGGCAGGTGAGGTGTACCAGACAGATGTGGCCAAGCTTCTCCTCTGTGGGAGATACCTCTGAGCCAGCTGCTTTCCAGCTGTCATCCTGCCATCTGAGCACTGTGATCAAATTTGATGTTTCTGTGCATTGATCCGATGTCAAGCAAGGCATTTTGGACAGCAGGTAATCCTGCATATGGACCCATGTTGAGATTCTCAGCAGTGTGGACAGCTTGTGTGAAGTCAAATGTAATGAGGAATGGAGAATTCAGTGCTTCATCTGCTGTGGGTACCATCCCCACCCTAAACTACACAGCAAGTTCCAGATTCAGAGATCCGCATGACATGACTTTCTCTTCTACCAACCTTTGGCAGTCTGGCATCGAGGTTCACATAAGGACATTTTCCTATCTCTTGGCCTGGTCTCACCCAGACATCCCATTGCAAGCCTGGTCTCCCACAGGCAGAAATACTAGTCAGGAGGTTGGAGATTAGAGGGATTGATGCTGCACTCATCCAGGACATTCATTCTTCCAGCTCCATTCTCAGCGTTTGTGTAACTGAGCTGGTGGGAAGATGGCAGAAGCAATTCCAGACTGCAAATGTCCCAGTTTTCTGGAGTTGGGAGAAAACCCTTTTTATGGCCAAAGAAACTTATAGCAGCTCTTAGAGAATGTATTATGGCTTCATTCAGTTCTGTGTGGTTAGTCCTGTGTCAGACCCTTTGGTAAGAGAGATGTTCCTCAGACCAGCCAGGGAAAGGGTAAGGTATTCCATACTGCCATATAGCCAGCAGTGGTGAGACTGCTCAAAGCAATTGCCTCTACCCCACCCTGTTCTGAGCTGTAGGCATAGGCCATGTCACATTCTACAGGTATGTCTGCTAGCAAAGACCTTTATAAGCCTCTTCCCTCAGATGAACTTGGTCTTTCATAGATTCAGCCCCAAGATACAAAAAAGAAGAGCTACCTTCATTCTAGAGGACAGAATTCTGAATCTGAGGCAACCTCTAGACCAGTGTTTCTCAACCTGTGGGTTATGACATCTACATGTGAGAGGATAGATTGTTGCCATCTCATGCCACATACACCTTGGTAACTGTCATCCAAGTATGAGGGCCAGGTCTTTTTCTTAACCTGTGACACATCTCAGTGCTGAAGGACTTGAATTTGTAGCTTGCTGTCTCAGCACTGGCTTAGGTGCCCATTTGCTCACCCTCTTCTATAAGTAAAAATTGGAGTCTAAGAGCAAAGAGCCTGTAGGGCCTTCTCAGAAGGAGTCCAGCCTTGTCTTTGCTGCTCATAGGTATGGGCACTGAATGGCTGTGCTTTTGTTAACTAGGCTTCTGTCCTACCGGTGGTAGCTTGAGCCACCCTTCCCCCTCCATGTCTTGTACCTTCCCAGAACTTCAGTCTCTGCTTGATGTCTCCATGTGGATGTGGGTGGTCAGTGACCCAACACAGACCTTGAACTTGGCCGTTTCTCTCTCAGGCATTTCTCACCACTTGCTGGTGCTCTATAGCAATATCCTTGTCCATAGTCAGCTGCCAACTGTCACCCACATCTCATGGTACCTACCACTTTGTTCTTGGGCTGATTTCTGCACAGTCTACTTGAGTCTACGAGGCCCTGCCCTGTAGTTATCTTTCCACACCCTGACTGACCTGTCAAAAGGATCCCAACTAGCCACTGTTCCCTGAAGGAGTATATGGCTCAGCTCTGCAAGCTTCGTGCTACTCAGATTGTGGCAGAACCCCTCCCCATCCCCAACCCCATTCCCTTGGCAGAAGGGAATTACGGTTGCTAGTCAGATGAATTTGAAATAAGATCCTAGATTATGTGAGTAGGCTCCTCACAAAATCCCTTAACTGGAAGGTGGCAGAAGAGTTAGTGTGGAAGAGACTTGGAAGCCATGGACAGCCACTTAAGGAAAAGGCCACAAGCCAAGACCTCAGGCAGCCTTTAGAAGCTGGGCAACACTTCCACCAGAGTACCCACAAAGGAGCTTAGACTTGGTGACACCGTAACCTAGCCCAGAGGGACCAGTGAGTTGTGACCAATAATTGCCGGATGGTAAAAACCACAAGAAGCCATTATGCATGTAATTTGTTAAAGTAGCAAGAACTAGGAACTAAGGACATGAAGTGTCCCTGTCATTCATTTCCTAAAAGTCTCATCATGTGTCCTTTCTATTGGGAGTAGATGCCATCCCGTGGAGATGGGTTTTCAGAGACCAGCCTGCCAGTAACAGGCCAGGGAAGCTGATCCGGTCCACACGTCTGCTCAGGTTGGCCAACAGGATTCAGAGGACCTGTGCTATGTGTACCAAATGCAAGGCTAAGCTGAGGTTAATACAGGAGCACTGGGAATTCTCTGGGCCAATGTTGGGAGCTGATGCTGTCCAAAATGGGCAGCCTTAAGGATGATAAACAATAGTACTTTCTGGGTGCTGTTTTTCACAGCAGAAGAGGCATTTAGTATCTGAATTTTGTTTTTGAGACTGGCCTCAAACATGTAACTGAGGACCATGAATTCTTGATCCTCCTGTCTCTACCTCCTGAGTACTGGGAATACAGCTCTGTACCACCACACTCGGTTTATGTGGGCCTTGTGGATGCCAGGCAAGCATCCCACCACCTGAGTCATGTCCTCAGTCTCATCTGCTATTTGTTTAATGGTTTTTTAAAGACAATTTTCTTAATTCCTTGGGGTGGTGGGAACTGTCATCAGATTGGCCTCAAATATACCCTAACCCTGGTTTCATATGAGTAAGCACAAGAGTTTATATATAAATGATCTTTAATTTCTGCTTTCTGATGTTAGTCTTGTGTAATGTTTCAGAGTAGTCATTAATAAAATCCATGCCTAAAGCACAAATAGTTTTGAGTTTGTTATTTTGCCCAGGCTCCAAGCAATCCTTCCTCAGCCTCCCAAGTAAGTAGCTGGGAGTTGAAGTGTGTGCCACCAGGGCAGGCAGGCTAGCCTGGAGCACAGCTGAGCCAAAGCTTGGATGCATTTTCCCAGGCTGGAGGTTCCAGGTTGTAAATTAGCAGCAGTGCTGCTGGCCAATGACAGTGAAGTGCAGCCCAAAGCCACCAGCCATCAAGGGCAGCCATAAACTCATTGAGAAACACTGCTATAGTGCCCAGCAGTGTGTGGGTCTGCACATGCTCTCCAGGAGGAGCCAGAGTAATCAGCTATCACCTGGAGCACAGTTGGGTCTGTCAGGACATTTGCTCAGTTACAGGAAAGGCACTGCAGAGTCAGGCTGGCCTCAAACTCATGGCACTCTTCACCTCTGAAGTGCTGGGATTACCGGTGGACACCCCATGTCTGACTAGTTAGAGGACATTTCTACTGAGACTACAAGGAGCACCAAATGTGAGCTTACTTTCTCCTGTAGTCAGAAAGGAGTTAACTGGCAATCTGACATTTATTAGTCCTCCAAGGTGTTATGTAGAACCCTGTCTCTAACCTAAAGGTGTGATGTACAACTGGGGGCTGCTTTCAGCAAGTTGAAATGCCCTCCAGAAAAGAGGGATTTTGGGGGGGGGGCGCTGTGATAGACTGTGATAATCCTCCATGGGAAGCTTCACACTCCCCTAGGGCAAAGTGAGGGAGGAGAAGGAGAAAGGGAAATAATGAAAGTTTGGTCTGAGCCTAGGCTTTCCCCAACTAGCTCTTATAACTTAAATTAACCCATTTATATTAATCTAACATTGTGTCATTATCTTTCTCTGTACTGCCCATCCTTCTGTGCTTGGCTGGTGACTCCACCTTTCTTCTTCCCAGAGTCCTCTCTGTCCCCAAAAGTCCTGCCTAACCTTTTCCTGCCTAGCTATTGGCCATTTGGCTCTTTATTACACCATCACAGCAATACATCTTCACACAGTATACAAATATCCCACAATGTGCAAACATGCGCTAAGACACTGCTATATGAAGAACAAGAATGGGTTTTAATGATCACAATTCCCCTTCTGCTGTCAGAACAGTCAGAAGGCAAAAGCTTTAAATCAACCTGAATAAAAGTAAAAATAACAAAAACTAAATTCCAGGAGGAGTTAATGGCAGCCAGGACAGTGGCACTGGGGCCCCCAAGGGCAAGTACTCAGGTCCTGGTTTGCAGAGGGAGCCTCAGGGCCAGCTCTGTCAGATGATTCATGTCAGGTTGTTTGCTGCGCTTCTTGATGTAGTCCAGAGTCTTCACCTAGAAAAAAGAGTTCCATCTTGTATTTGGCTTCACGGCTCTGACCTGGGGGCCAAAGCCTCTTCTGAACTGGCCCTAAATGAGGTTACCGTGCCTCGCTGAAAATGGGGTGTCTTCTGAGGGATGATGGAAGAAGGAAAATGTTAAAATTGTAACTTCTTCTAAAATCAGACTCAGGGATCTGGGGACAGCTCAGTTGGCAGAGTGCTTACATGCACAAGTCCTAGATTTGCTCCCCAGCACCACAAAAACTAGAAGCAGAAGAGGAAGATTGGAAGTTCAAGGTCCTCTTTGGCCATATAGCAAGTTTAAGGATAGCCTGAGCTACCTAACAGTTGGTCTCAGAGGAAAAGAATCAAGATTTGGCTGTGGCCAGGAGTAGGTGACATTTTCAAGCAAGTACTTTCTACGAGAGAAGTGACGGGATGCTGTCTAGTACTAGAGAGTCACCCCAAGAATGGGTCTGGCACCCATCTCAGGGGTGACAGGGCAGTATGTGGCATTGCTGATGCTGTGTCAAGGTCAGTACCTCTCTGGCTGGCAAGGGCCCTGATGCTTACCATGGTCCTTGTGTCTGCACAGCCATGCCTCTGTGCCAGGTGCCACAGGTTGACAGAGAGTTGGTTCAGCTTGTTGTTACGAAGGTCCCCATGGGCTAGAATGCTATTGAAGAAGGAGAGGCCCAGAGAGCTCTGGCGCTTCAGGGCCTGGAAGAGAGAAAGGAGGATATGACTTTGCTCTGGCACATTGGATGGGCTCAGTGTAGATACTCTTGGTAGAGTGGTCAAGAAATGCCAACTTTGCCATATGTTTGCTGAGCCCACCCTGCACCTGTAAAATAACAGTGAGATCCACAACACATGGAGTGAATGAGGACAGGGGCACCATAAGCTCTGAGCTCTGCTGCCACCAGGCTGACAACTGAAGTCTGACAGCAGTGAGAAGGCTGTGCTTCAAGTATAAGTCAGGCTAGTCAGTCAGGCTTCCCATGGCTTTCAGCTGTGGCTCAAGCTCCTGAAAGCTGTGGTTACTATTGCTAATCTTAACCGACTGAGCTCCTGAATTGGGGCTCAGATCTGGCCTTTACAAGAAGCACCTACTGCAAGGCATGGTGTCCATGCCTAATCCCAGCTCTTAGCAGGTAGAGGCAGAAGGACCAGTTCAGAGTCATCTCCGGCTCCCTAGGATGTTTGAGGTCAGACTGAGCTATGAGACCCTGTCTCCAAAAAGAAAAAGAATAAGAAAAAGAAAAGAAGAAAGAACTTCCTAACCCTGTAATACCAGGCCTTTCAGGAATCTTGCTTAGTTGGATGGTCTGTGAGGCACCTCACCAAAGAAACATTTAGCCACATGTGACCAGCTTTGAATGGCAGAGACAATGGGGAAGAGTGCAGCGACAGCTCAGGGGAAAGGACACACTTTCTCAGCGGGGAAACAACACAGAATACCACATCTACAGGGGGGTACCTGCTGTTTGGAAACCCATGGAACCAGTTGTCACTGGATGCTAGCCACTGCCACGTAGAGCTCTGAGGGCCCAGGGCCTTTGCTGCAAAAACCTCGCAGTCCTACCAAACAGTGCAGGCCATGTGTGCCTGTTCTACCCCACAGCAGCTAAAGGGTATTGAATACTCAGTGTATGCTAGCACCTTTGCTCTACACTTCCCATCTCTGTGGCAGGCACATTCACAACCTATGCTGGGTAGGTAGCCTTCTAGAACTTTTCTGATATACCATCCTCTGGTTACTTGTACAGTAATGCAGGTACTGATGAAAAGGGATATTGCAGATGGAAATGAGGTGTCTGGATAGGCCCAATCTGATGATGGAGCCTTCAAAGGCAGAGTCAGAGACAAGCAGGAAAAGATGGTAAAGAAAGGCCAACAAGGCTGGGCTGAGGACACATTAGTAATGAGCACAAGGTCCTCAGTTGGATCCCCAGCACCCATATTAAAACGTATGTGGTGGCACACACTCCAGCAGGAAGACAGGAGGATACTGGCAAGTCCCAGGTCAAAGAAGATCCCCAACCTCAAAAGATATGTGTACAGCTCCTGAAGTATAACACCCAATAGCTGGGCATGGTGATGCACACCTTTAATCCCAGCACTTGAAAGGCAGGTGGGATCTCTGTGGGCTCAAGGCCAGCCTGGTCTATAAAGCAAGTTCCAGGACAGCCACACTACACAGAGAAACCCTGTCTCAAAAAAAAAAAAAAAAAAAAAAGGCAAAACCACACCCAAATTTGACCTCTGGCCTCATATGCATATGTACCCACATGAACATGCATATACATGTACATATAGAGGGGGAAAGTAAGGCAAGGCAGAAAGGGAGGTCAGACAAATTTAAAGCAAAAAAACTTGACCCTCTTGACGTTCAAGATAGAAAAAGGGAACCAGGCTGCTCAGAGTCATCTGACACCTACCTGCGACCTACGCACCAGACCGAGTTCGGCCTCCAACTGCCAGCCCAGCGGGACCTGGCACGCCCGAACACTGCTAACGCCTGGGTAACAGTGACACCTCTATCCACGAGAAGAGGACTAACATCACAGTATTGGATCTGTTTGCATCTACCAGAAGAGAACCCTGGTCCCACACCCACCAGGAGAGCAAGAAAAGCCTGCTACACCCACCAGAAGAAAGGATGAGAAGAGGACAAGGTAAAAGCACATCCAACAACAGAAAACCCAATATGACACCACCGGAGACTAGGATCCATACACCAGCAAGACATGAACATCATGATGCAGATGAACCAGAAGAGAATGACCTTAAAAGCATCTTCAGAAAAATGACAGAGGACCTGAAAGAGGACATGAGAAAATCCCTTAAAGAAATGGAAGAAAAAACTAACCAAAAAATACAAGATATCAATAAATCTCCCAAGGAAACAGTTCAAGACCTAAAATCTAAAATAGAGACAATAAAGAATCCAAAATATGAGGGAATGCTGGAAATAGAAAAGCTGGATAAATGATCAGGAAATACAGATGTAAGCATAACCAACAGAATACAAGAAAAGAGAGAATCTCAGGAGTTGAAGACACACTAGTGGAAATAGATTCATCAACTAAAGAAAATCTTAAGTCCAACAAATCCCTATCACAAAATATCCAGGAAATAAGGGATACCGTGAAAAGACCAAACCTAAGAATAATAGGTATAGAAGAAGGTGAAGAAATCCACCTCAAAGGGGCAGAAAACATATTCAACAAAATTATAGAAGAAAACTTTCCCAACCTAAAGAAAAACATGCCAATGAAAATACAAGAAGCCTACAGAACACCAAATAGACTCAACCAAAAAAAAAAAAAAAAAGGTCTCCTCACCGCATATTAATCAAAACACCAAACATACAGAACAAAGAGAAAATATTAAGGGCAGAAAAGGAAAAAGGTCAAGTAACCTATAAAGGCAAACCTATCAGAATCACACATGACTTCTGCATAAACTCTGAAAGCCAGAAGGTCCTGGATAGATATCTTACAAACACTAAGGGAGCATGGATGCCAACCCAGACTACTGTACCCAGCAAAGCT